AAAATCATAGTAAGAACTTTATTAAGCATACAATTTCGGTCACTGATTCACCGTAGCGACAACATCTGTTTACATTTTATGAAAACTGACAGTTAGGCTTCCGCTAGCACGCATATCACCTAAGACAGCAGTCAGTTTTTAGCGATTTTCTGATATCTTTAGAAGACTGTAGAAACTAAATTATCATAACCAGAAGAGAGGTCCTACTCTCTTTATGTCCCAACCAAAGAGTTCATGTACTGCAGTTAGTAAAGAATGATAGATACTTTTTCTTCCATTAAGATATGATGGTTCAGTCGAACTCCTTTTGGTATAAAATTTAACTATCCCATTTCTCTCAGTAATTATGATTACTTAAAGGTTATTAACATGTTTTTCTTGGCAGAAATCGAAGTAGACTCTGTTGTGTAACCAGGATTCCAAAAAAACAGTAAATGACTAAAACTAGGTATACTTGAGCATTTGAGGAAATAAGCTATAATAGTGTATTAATCTTGGTGACTAGTAGTGGAATCCAGGACGCACGTTTCTTCATTCCTGAGACGCGTCGGCTGGATGTGTCTGCGCCTTAGTGAGTGATGTTGTTCCCAATGGGAACTGAACCCAGTATCCATTGTCCCAAACGCCAAAATGTTATCCATTAGGTAACTTAGGCACCAGATGCACCATTTGTACACCGGGTATCAGTTCTTGTTGCTTGGTGTAATTGTAGTTTCCAGTTGCTACACATCCAGGCAACGAGTCCCAAATAGGGTAAAACACGCGTCCTGGATTCCACTACTAGTTACCAAGAAGAATACAACATCAAGAATATACGGCAGTATCGAGGCATCCGGGTAGGTGCCCATCTGCCAACAGAGGTCGAGCTAGTCGACCTTGTATAGCGACTGGGAATTTCAAGCATTGAGCAACAAAAAATAATAACAATTGTTCTGAGTGTTTGTTTATTAATGTCTTAGAACAACAATAGAATGGTTAAACGTAATTTAACAACCACAGTGTTATATTACTTCACTTAGATTTTGTTTTTTTCAGTTCACAGAAAAAAAGACCTAATCCATTTTATACTTTCTGTCAGTGTGGTCTACATGAAGCTGTATATGAATCAAACAAAGGGTCAAACATTTTTTCGTATCGTTGCAGTCAAGTGTGAATCATCACGAACTTATTTCAAGTAGTTTCGGTGGATTTCTACTGTCTGGCTGACATGATTAAGTTTGACAATTCCGCCCAAGCCACTTGCACTATGGTAAAACTTTTTCGTTGGCTGATGATTCACTTCGCTAAAACCGGTGTTTTAAACTTCCTAAGAGATCTTTGTATGATGTTAGTTGGTCGGACGCAATCGATAGGAAGCCTCAGACCTAGGTTTCATGCTTGTTGGTACTCAACAAGCATGAAACCTAGGTCCCAGGCTTTCTACCGATTGCCTCCAACCAACTGACATTGATTAATGTGCACCGCAATGCTGAGTTTCGTAGCTTGGTCACCATATTACGAAAGTAATCGATAGGATTCGGTCAGCACTCAGGACTAGACAAAAGGAAATCGGTTGCTCTCCCACGACCAATTAATGAATCTTTTTATGATTCAGGTCTTTCTACATATAGCTGTTTTCGCTCAAGACAAGTCACTATTCTTAGTCCTGTGATAATTACATTTTCTTAGAGAGATATTAAACGCAAATTAAGGCTTGCGACAGCCATTCTTATCCAATAAAGGTATAAAAACTGATAACCAATGAACAAACTGGTTGTTTGATGTCAGGCACTACTACGAGACTCTTCAAAGTTGACGGGATGTATTCTTAAAACTTATATTCGATCATTCAGTCTAAATAAAAACAAAATTACAATAATCTTTCTATGTGCTTTAAGTCAGTTTATCAAACGAATTTTCTAGAATACTGTTCAGAATAGTCGAGTCAAAATAAAGTTTATTATAGATCTCGAACTTAATCTAGAAATAATATTGAGAATTGAGTAAACAATGAATGTCTATCAGATATTTTGTCAAAAGAAGATAATATCCTTTTTCTTATTGGTTTTTTCGCGTTGTAATACCCCTAAATTAATTTAAATCGATTGTGCGCTTTTCTTCTAAAAAATTCTCCGTTCACAACAGTGCGACTAAAATCTATCGAACGAAGTAATCAATTATATATTGTCGCGAGACAAGCATAGATGACTGTAAGTACACTTGTGAATTTCATTGTTCATAAATGAACGTTATCAAAGTTCAAGGTATTTTTAGGCATATGGCTATTGATTTTGTATACTCATCCATAGATGACAAACAGCTTTAGGGTGATAATTATTTTTAAGAGTTTTAACTTTCAGTAAGGTGAATGCTACAAAAGCAGGGTGCATATGTGGTTCATATTTGTCAACCGATAGTTCAAAGTTATTAAAAATAAACCGAGCCCACTAAACACCGTGAGTGGCAACTTGATAATGCTTAGGATGCGTTTCTCACCACCCATATGCAAATGATTCTCCAGAACTGGTCTTTTCTCTGGTGTCTTGCCTAACAGCAGGAAGTGAATTGGTTGAGTGTATTAACCAATTTGCTTGCCTGTGAAATCAGGTCATTCATGATGGGCAAGTAATCAGTGAAATCGCTGCATGCATACAAAAGGCTCACGCTATATATGGCGCCGCTTTAATGTTCTGTTAAGCATTAAGGGGTGAGTATACTGTATTGCTGTACGCTCTGCTCTGATACATAGCTATGGAAAATGGCCAAAAAGGATGGTGCGCGTGAGAAGGCTCCAAGTGTTCGACGACTATTGCCTTTGTATCATAGACCGTATTTAGTACTATCATCACTTCAGTAATTTAGAAGTCTGGTGTAAAGTTTTCGGCGGAAGATGTGAGGCACTTTATAAGACTGTGAACCTTAATCAACTCACATGGCTGGGGCATGTGTTCAGCATGTTGAGTAACCATTTCTTTCATCGTATAGTGTTAAGTGAAGGAGGTTAGAGGCGGTCAGACATGGTATGGCATTAGTCCATAAAGTTCGTGAATCTCTACCTGAGTCACGTGGGATCATTTAGACTTTCCGAATGGTGTCCATCGAAGATCGTTGATTGGAGACTGCGATATTACTCAGAATCAATCTCCATGGCAAAGATGCATTCACTCGTTATCTTCATTTTAATAGTCACATTGGATTTCAATTTTCTCTCAGTCCTCTACTTTCTTCATAACTTTCCACCACTATTGACTACTTTCTTCCTTATTTCTTCTTTCTTATTCCGCGTCATAATGCCTTCTGCTAGACGTGCCTATATGAGATGTGACAACTCGAACAGTTACACAGTAATGCCAGGTTCTGCTTGATATTATCTGTATTTATCGAAAAGTACAAACCACTCCTAATCAGTGGACAATAATGATTATTTTGCTTTAGATTTGTATTTAGGTGGATTTTTGTGTGGAGGTTCTGCTTCATGTTTTATTTCACAAATGTGTAAATAAGCTGACTTCAGAAGAAAGCAAAGTGTCTTAAAATTTTATTACGGCTTTTAGCTATGAGCAAACGGTTTCAACCAACTCGTCCGTTGCATTCTAAAAGTGTCATAGGTTTTTCCGACAAAGACCGTAATTGTCGTTGTCATTGGTCTGGAGGTCAAGGCAAAGATGTGAATGTGTGACTGGGTGCGAATGTGTGAGGTGCTTTGAATGGCAAACTTGATTGGTTTTTAATAAAAAGGTTTTTGTTTATTGATTGATCATAAATAGGGTACTGTATTCGTTTTTTAGTTTTAAGAAATCCACACTGCAAAAGGTAAAGTATTTATTCACTACAAATAATTATCTTCAAACTACTAGACTTTATTTCATAGTTTAATCTGGATTGGGATGAAGTTAAGGACAGACAAAAACAATAAAAAGTTGAGTGCTCGAATATTCGGTAGATACTTCCTATAAGGTAGATACAGGCTAGGTGTTGACAGATATGTATCAGACGCCATCCAGTCTTCGGCGTAGTCTACATTTTCGTTTCTTACACTTGATAGAGGCTACTGCTGTTCACTTGTACAATCTGAAGGAATTTTACAACCTTTGTCATTACTTTGGCCATTAGAGTATCTTCAATGGGTTTAGTTTTTTGCCTACTGAACTATAATTTATTAACAAGGGACTATCTTTTGTCTTCAGCTCATATCTGCCTCCTCAGTTTTCCTTCTCTCTAGGATTGTGTTATCCTGTTAACATGTATCTATTTACTCTAGATTTCTCAGTTTTCATGTTAGTTATTGTGGAGTTAGTGAGTTAAAAGCCTGTTTTACTTGGTATTACCATAAATCACCCGTCAATTTGTATCTTTACTTCCCTGATTGTTAGCTTCATGATAACCTTCAATTTGTAGTAAGCTGTGACTTTCACACATATAAACTACACCCAACGTAATCTTTCTAGCTAATTAACCGGCCAACAATAAATGGTATCATAAAATTAAGTGTAAAACGTGTACGTTGATGTAGAGTCAGTGACGAAGGTCAGATTGAAAAGTCTTTCTCCATTCATTCTGTCTTTCGTCCTGAGTGTAAATGTCGGTTCTTTCCAGAATATATTTTGCTTCATTATGAAAAAGATTTCCCCACTTCTTTGGAAATTTTCACTGACTGTAATATTCAGAATGCTTTTGATGAGTATTTATTTGAAGATCCGAAACCACAGAATCATACTGCTAGAACATTTAAAACATTAGCTGAGCCCTTTTAGATTGTGATGAAAAATTTCATAAGCTTTTGTATTATGTAGCACAAAGCTGTATGAGCCTAGATTTTCAACCGTATGCTACTACACTTTTCGCCGTGATGTAATCAAATCACATGGAAACTAAAGTTTTGTGTCTTTGCGGAGAGTAGGTGAGTTGAAGGTACACTTTCCAAACTGAACTTATGATGAATACATTTTTGAGCAGTTTCCTTGTGCTTATACATCAGTTCTACTATTAATGTATCCGTCATCAATTTTTTTGTGAAACAGGTTTAGATATAGATCCCACTGGTGGAGTTTTTGGTTCATCATTGCCAATTGATCTGGCTTTGGATCCAAAAAGAGAAATAATCGTTGCATTCGAGATGAACAGAAAGCCGTTGACTAGAGACCATGGCTTTCCCCTAAGAATTATTATACCTGGATCTATTGGAGCACGTCAAGTTAAATGGTTATCTAGAGTAGGTCCCATTTTTCCACATTCTCTTATGTACAGTTGGATTTTGGTCTTATAACCGTTGAGACTTGTTCTGGTTTACTGATGACTACCATTTTATTAGAAAAACTTATTCTAATTTCTGATTTATGTTATATTATTATTAGTCCCTTGGGTTCCTAGTGGAACATAGGGCTTCAGTAGCACGTCTCCAGTGACCTCTGTTCTCTGAGATCTTTTGAACCTGGTCCCACGACAGCCCAGAAGCTTTCATTTCCTATTCTAATTTCTGATACTTGTGGTTATTTTTTAGAAATGAATTGTTTAGTTTTTTTACCGAATAAATTCAATTTTGAATGGTGGATAATGAGATAAAATAAAATAATCGTTTACAGAATTTCATGTTAACTAGTGACCGGTATTTTTGATAGGATAGTGAAGTTGCAATTTGGTTTTTCTGATCAGATTCATTACTGTATTAAAAAGTATCATCTACTGAGTGACTCTTCGCCATAGCTACATAAAGTTGATCATAAAACTATGACACCTGGGATAAATGGCTTGGCTGACATTTATTTCTTTATTATGATGGTGGCATTTTCCAGTTATTTGATATAGATGATTAATCATACCTGATGTATTTACAGGATGCTGATTCGGTATAGAGAAGTTCATTGGTGTCTTGATTTTTAGAGAAACTACTTCTTTTGAAGCTTTCAATGTCTGTGAATCAATATTAACAGCTGTAAGGTTTTTAGACTACTTATCTATCTACACTGAGCTATGCTTTTAGATTTTTCTTATCACTAACTTCTGAGTACTTCAGTGAACTCGACAAAAATAAGGGCAGAAAATCAACTCAAGAAAACACTCAATGAATACAGATTTTCAGAGAATTTTTCACAGCACACTTCATTTGACTTCGAGATGTAATTATTACTTGAATTTACCTAATAAAGCTTCCTAGCATCTATCCGGAGTGTTTCCTTTATAATGTTGGTAATGGATGTCAAGCATACAAAGACTGTTTGAATGATTTCTTGTGAAAAGCATATAACTTAGTTTCAAAGGAAGATAAAGATAATGTGAACCAATATTAATGCGTGAATGTAAACGAGAAATTACAAGTATCATTACAACAACTGACATCTGTGCCCTAGTGGCTTAGTGGGTAACGCTCTGGTGTTTAAAGCGAAGGGTACTGGGTTCACACCTCGATGGGAAGAACGCCACTCACTAAGGTGCAAGTAAATCCGGCTGACGAGTCCCAAATAGGAAGAAACGCACATCGTGGATTCCTCTGCTAGTCACCAAGACCAATATAACAATTTGTGAATACTGTTGATATTATTAATTTGGTCACCCCTTTTGTTGTGAAGAAATTTTTCAGAAAACTTGTGAGCCTGCTCAAAAGATTGGTTTTATAGTGTGAAATCTTACCTGAAAACTTGTTCAGAATTACATAAGGATCTTGATTCTCATTGATTGTCATCAAGCAGACTGCAGATAAATGCTATGTTCACACTGTCCAAATTTTGGATATTGACCAGTCTTCGAACAAGAAGACCATACATTTCAATAATACAAATGTAAAACTTGGGCATTGTATTAGAATTTAACTCCTATTAGATTTGTTTATTTGATTTATCACACACAAGGAAACAGCATTATTTACTTTATGACCTCTCAGCATGAACTGCTGCTCATAATCATAACAATGTGAAGAAGCTTACACAGCGAAACGTTCAGAAACACCTTCTTTTGATTGTTTAGATCCACTGGAATTCCATTAAAATATACTCTTATAGGCAATGAACCAGGCTAAGCGTTCAATTTTACCAGGACATTTGTAGCAACTATTGTGTGGATATTTGTATTATAACTGTGGGGCGTAAAGAAAGTTAATTAAAAAGTGAAGTTTGTTCAGATAATAATTTTTTGAATATCTGATAGTAAAAAGCCAGTAGGAAGGCATTGAAGTTCCATCTTTCTGTCTATAAATAAAGTCGTTCTATGTAACTTTATCGTTAAACATTAATCTAAGTAAAAATTCCTGAATTAGAGGGTAGGTATTGTGATAGTCAAGATATTACATTCTGTGTTAAGAAAGAAAAGATATAGTCTCAGTAAATGAAACATTGGGGGAAAGTTTGTTTACATCGTGGGATATCATAAGTTAGTGAGATATGTTCATGTCGGTCATGTAGTCAAAAAATGCAAGTGTTTTGGAGAGACTAGACAGCGATCCGTTTTATAACACATATTAGGAGTTTGGCCAACCGTTTTGCAGTCTGAAGGTAAAGAGATCCAGAGACGTCGAAGGTAGGTCTAATTGAAAATCCACATTTCGGCTACACACGCAGACACGCAATTGTCAAACCGTGTGATTTATAAATTTCTACAGATTATCTGTCATCAGCTTATCATCTTTTAAAATTTTTCAAATATAATCTGATTGCAGTTCACTTCTTTACATCTTGTTAGATTTGTTTATTTAATGTACCAAACAGTGATACAGTATGGTTTATTTGGTGAGGTTGGATGCATAAATTATTGCTCATCCACATGTCATCAGAGTAATCACACTACTTTGGACATCTGACTTGGAAAGTTCAATCACCTCGCACTCTGATTTCAGTAGTAGTACAGTTTTCCATTTATCCCATATATGTGGTAAATCATTCTTATAAAGCGTTACAATAATGCTTCGTGAATTATGTACCATAAAAATTTCCTTTATTAATGATTCATAACTTTTCCCATTTATGCTTGCAAATCCTAATATAACTCCTTGGATAAGGAAGTGAAATACGTTCATAATTTCCATTGTGATATTAAAAACAAGATATTCAGTAAAGAGGACTCTCTGACGAATTTATTCTAAAGCTGTACTTCAGTATATATATATATATATATATATATATATATATATATATATATATATATATATATATATATATATATATATATATATATATATATATATATATATATATATATGATATTTAAAGACCGTAATCCGTGAGGAAGATTTAATTTAAGTGCTTAAGTTGTGAAGTGAAACACGTAAAAGAAACCTTACTGATTAATAACAATCTTCTAGCATTTATTTAGAAATTCTTGAAAATGCATAAGAAACGAAGTAATAACAGTAATACGAAAGACGTCTAAGGCTTCTATTGTGGTGCCGTATAAGGAAGGAATGTCAGGAAATTTACGCAGAATTCTCAAAAATAAAACAACTGTAACTAGGTCCTATTTAAAGACAGATATTGATTACGGAATCGTTATTCATCGAATCAAACCCAACACTTGTAGCAGGATTGAGACAACACCCATACAGAAGGACGGTCTCTAAATGCCATCCTAGCAACTGATAAAATAACCAATCAGGTTTCTATATTTTATGAAAATTCGAAATGCTCAGTTAAAATACAAAGATACAACCAGTAATTTCCTAGTTGATACGAGGCTTTTGATATCACTTGTACCGTAGATGTGGATAATTTTACTACCACTAGAAACAGTGTATGGGATGATTTGGTTATGAAGATCGGAAGTCGAAAGTGGTATGATCACTTTAATGACATGATTATGAGAAAGGGTTAGTGCTCGAAACGTCTTCAAATAAGTAATACTCTATCGCTTTTGGCTACATCACATGAACTTGTCGTTTTGGGGGATTGCATGCCATGACACTGCCTATATTTTACAATTATCCTTTTAACTTTCTTCTCGACTCACTACGTCAAAATGAGGGTTATTATCTTTCTAGGAAGATTATATCTGAAATTTACCTTCTTTTGGTGTACCGTTTTTTTATAACGACATTTCATTTGTCTGGGTTACGTTCAGTTGATACCGTGTTAGAGAGTGGAAAACGGAAACGGAGGATATTTCTATCCGATTTAAATCTTACTCTACCACTCGATGAGATGTTAATTGGAAGGAAGTCGTAATCCTTACTATTGGTTGCACTACTAGATCTGTGTCTGAGAAACCTCGGTAACCGTTTGTCGAATTGTCAGATATACGGAGACTAATTTGTGCAAACTCAACAATATGAGCAGATTAAGTCACCTAAATACTACAATTTAGTTCTGCGTACTTATTGCCCTAAATAATGATCCATCTGTTTTCTGAGGAAACTGTGTTACATCTAGTCCAGTCTGTTTTCAGATATGACACAGGATTTGGTTAACAAGCGCTGTATCACTCTTTTGAGTGCAGTTCTAGGAGATCAAGGATGCCACTTTTTGAACTCAAATTGTTAACACGGATAGTAGTGCGGAAATGAGTTCAAGATAGCGTGGACTTGATGAAAAACACAGTTAAGAAGAATTGTAAATACAACTCATGAGAATGTTGTTAGTTCTGGAAACAGATTTACGAACTGTTGATATTTCCAGGGTTCCCATATGACGAAATATCATTTCTTTTTGAGATACCACGAAAAGAAATTGGATTAATGTTTATGTTTTTAGCCACTTGATGTGGTGACTAAAATACACCAGGGACAGCTGATTGGAAGGAACTACACGGCCTTTTGCGGATACTTGATTTGTATTTAAGTGTATTCTCTTGGCACACTAAAAGCTGATTTGTCAGGGAGAAGAATCAATGGAGCGACGGCATATATGCTATTTTGAGCCAAAGTTTTCTAGCCTTCACTTCTGACACGGGAAAAACAACATCATTAGCGATACTGGTTATCTTTTAAAATACCTTGTTTTTTACATGCAGGAATAGTATTCTCCACTGCCGGTATCGAGAATGCTGCCATGCGAGCTTAATGTAACACCAGATTAAAAATATCACGATAAACGCAGAAAATTGCTCTTAAAATTACTCGTTTTACACACTATTCCACTAGAACAATGACCTCTAACGCCAGTCACGCCTCATATAGATGACATGACAACGTGCTGGATACCAGCAGTATTTTTTTTTGTGAATTTATTTTCATCGTGATAACGTTTTGTTTCAGTCTGTGTCTAAAGTTATAATTCATGTAAAAAGGTCAATAAAAAATTTCTACTTTTGTGTCACTGTCTAGGTCAACTTATATCAGCTGAATCGCAATATGAATCAGTTTGTAGAGATTTCTATGCTTCTATTCTATGGAAACTTTTCTTTTTCACTTGTTATACTTCATGTATAAATATACCTGTATTTATCTACTCATTAAACTCAGAAGTTGATTATTAAGTAGGAGAATTTAAACGTTTACAAGAATTTTGTTGAAATTCATTGTATTCTGGGTCATTTTTCTGTGTACAGATTTTGTATTTTAAATGTTTTTTCATATGTTTGCTTCACATAACCTGGTTACATGACATTTTGATTCTTTTGGCTAGAATCACTTAACAGTTATCTTTTTATAACAGAAACGCATATATTTCATTAGCTGAAGAACTTGTACAATTGTCGTAGATGGAGTTTATGCCTTTGAGATTAGTTTTGCGTCCTTATGCTTTTAAAAAATAAATGGATGACTGATATTATTGCTTAAATTATTCGTTGTTACTTTTTCTATCTATCAACCTGTTTGGTCATAAGAGTTGGAACCTATGACTTAAATATGTCATGTGTTAATAGGATCTGATGCTTGCATGTAGCCATAGTGTTTGATCTTAAAACTAATTCACATATTAGTCTGTACTTAAAAAGTTAGACTGTAACATCTTAGTTTTTCTTCGTGATTTAAAACCTGCTGTAAACTTAAGTCGTCTTAAATATATATTATTGTTTGGTTAGGGGTAAATGTGTGAATCAGTAATCGTTATTTGCCTAAACGACTAATCATCTTACTGTATAGTCTTGGTTCAAAGTAAGAAACCATTAGATTGCTCATATATTTATGTTGTCATTTTTCTAAGATTTTTATTTATTTGTTGGTTTGATATCATTTCAATTGAGAATATCTGATGTTAACGGATTATTGTAGGTGCGATCAGTTTGATTTCAGGATACTAATATTACTTAATTATAGATGTAGAAATGCAAAACCAAGATATTCGACTTTGAGGCTCACTAGGTACTCACTTATTAGGCTCTAAATTTTAGTCCGTTGCGGAAATTACCCTTAATTTCCCTATCTCTTCGAATATTGACAAGAAATTGTATGAACCGAATACTTTGGATGCCGTGATATTTACACGGCAGTTTGTTAGTGGCTATTTTGCATAGGAGCCAGAGTACTCTTTTTGTGGGTCAATCAGAAATGCATTTACTATATCATATACCGTGAACTCATATGATAGGTTGTAAGATTCTCTACGTTCATCTCTTCCTTTTTAGATTACGTTATCAACAGATGAAAGTGAAAGCTTTTGGCAACAAGGCGATTACAAATATGTTCTACCAATGGCTGATGGTCACATTCCTGACATGAAACGTCTTCCAGCCATTTTGGATTACCCAGTTCAATCAGTCATTTGTACACCATCGAACGGTCAGATTATCAAAAATACTGGTACTATAAAGCTATCTGGGTAAGTGCTAAGCGTTTACACCATGAAAATAGGTTTCATTGTGGCAATAGCTGCGAAACGGGAGAAAAGAAGAACATATCTAACTTAGTAAACAGTATATTCATGGCTAATTTATGAGTTGAACGTGCCTATATGAAGAATCTAATTTAACAGGCCTACAGTCACCAGTTTTAAGATGTTTAGTATTTAGCGTTATTTCTTTATTCGAGGAGATCAAGTCGAATATATTATTCAAATTTATCCTTTGGGTTCCTAGTGGAACATACGGCTTCAGTAGCATGTCACCATTTATCTATGTTGTATTTTGAACCTAGACCCACGAATACTCACAAGCTTTCATTTCTTTCTCACACGATCTCCTCCATGTCACCGTCAGACGCCCAACTCGTCGTATCCTCTTTGGATTCCACTTCAGGACCTCGACTGGTGCGTAATATTTTCGAATGGTTTACTCAGTGTATGCTCAATCCATCTCCACTTTCTTCTGCATATTTGTTGGGCGATGGGTTCTTGGTCAGATCGTTGCCAAAGTGAGTTCCATGTTGCTTATTCTTTCTGGCCATCTAGTCTTCAGTATCGAGCGAACGTAGGCGGCAGGTGTTGATGAATGTCTGCAGTTGGTTGGAAATGCTTTTCGTGACGCGCCAAGTCTCTCAACTATATAGAAGCACTAACTTGACTAGCATTAGTGTTGAAAATCCGGATCTTTTCACACTTTATGCTGAGCGCAGTAGATCTCCACACTGGTTTCAGATTGATGAAGGCCTGTCCTTCTGCCTTTCCGATCCTGGCCTTGACGTCCTCATCTGCACTGCCTGTAGTTGAAACGATGCTGCCTAGGTAGGTGAATGGAACTACTTCCTTTAGGTTTCTCATATTGATGGTGATTGGTGCCTGTTGTTGTTGGTTGGGTGTCCTCATCACCTGTGTCTTCTCTACGTTCACTTGAAGGAAGCCCTGTTTCCGCTGCCCCTCCTCTTCTGTCAACTTGTTGGATTTTGCCTGTAGATCTTCGAGCTTGTGCGACAAGACATTAGACATAAATCATCATCATCATCATCATCATCATCATCGGCGGCGGCGGCGTCGGCGGTGGCGGTGGCGAAATCCAAATCTACTAGGATCTTTTCATCGATCCAGTCAGTGTATGCCCATCTTCTCGCTCCTCACGGTTCGTTGCATGATCCAGTCGACCACAACCAGGAAGATGATTGGTGAAAGTAGACGGCAGCCTTGTCTTACTCCTGTCTTCACTCCAAAGGCATCACTGAGCTTTCCATTGTGAATCATTTGGCATGTAGCATCATACGGCATGTAGCTCTTGAATGAGGTTGATAAAGGTTTGTGGCACTAAAACCGTAGTTTTGAAGCAGCTGCCTGCCAAATTACTTCTCGGTTGACGCTGTCGAAGGCCTTTTCACAATTGATGAAGTTCAGGTAGAGGGTTGACTGCCATTCTATGCTCTGTTCTATGTGATTCGTAGCGTAGCGTTGCGATTTGATTCGCATTTCCCGAATCCAGCCAGCCAGCCAGCCAACCTGTTCTGGTCGTAATTTTGAATCCAGCGCATCTTTCAGTCTCTTAATATTGTGCTTAGGGTGGATAGGAGCATGATTCCGCTACAGTTCTTGCGAAGACTTAGGTCTCCTTTCTTTAAAGGTTTGACAAGTAGCCCTTCTTCCACTCGGCAGGCACCTGTCCTTCCTTCCAAACCTTCTGCAACAGTGGTGTGAGTATGTCCGCTGTTGTCCCTGCGTTCGCTCTCAGTGCTTCTGGCGGATTCCATCTGGTCCCGCTGCTTTCCCGCATTTCAGTAGCTTTATGGCATTCAAGACTTCACTTCTGTTTTTGTCGGAGGGCTTGTGTTCACTGGTAGCTCTGTGGCTGGGCTGCTGGTGGTATTTGTGGATGAGTTGCAGGTGGTGGTCGATTGAAGTTTATTTAAAGTGGTCAGCACATCGTTTCTTTTGTTTCTTCTCTTTGGTAATTAGGTTTCCCTCACTATCTCTCATTGGTTCCGTCTGCCTTGATCTCTTTCCTCCCAGATAGTAACCTACTTATTTGATATGGTGTTGTCAGGTCTCTATCTCTCCTGCCATCAGCCTGTTCGCGTTCACTTGCCACTGTGTTGTAGAAGTGTCTGTTGTCTTTGCGCGCACTCTTCTTCACCTCTTTGTCAAGTGTAGTGTTTTACACGTTGTGCTCAGTTCCTCTTCTCGTTGTTCATCCTTGCACTGTACTGGTTCATCTTCTGCTTCACCATCACCGTCCTCCTCTCCCTGCTCTATCAGCTTCCATGTGTCCACCGACATCCATTCCTTGTCCTGTCTTCTTTCTTCTTCCTTTCTAACATGGTTGTGCAGGTTTCTTTTCACATCTCTTTCAAAGAGCTCCATTGTTTCTACACGCAGGTTGCTTCGAGGATGTTGCTTAATATCTCCCATTTTGTACTGGTGACTGACCGATGTGAAGATGTCCTTGGTAGTTTCGTCCTTCACTTCAGTTTCTGGGTGGGCGTTAAACTTGAACCGTGGTCTATCACCAGCTTCTTTGAAGACTTTCAACTTGATTTCGAAGGCAGGTTCCTTGCACTGGATAGTGAGTGATGTGAACCTACATCTGCTTCCCTTCTTCATCTTGTGTCCAGTAGGCTGGATGCGTCTCCACTTTCTTCATATTGAAATGAAGTCGATCTGATTTTATGCCTTCTATAGATACATCCATTGAAAGTGTGTGGAAAGTACAAGAACGAACTTTTTGTTGGAACGATATTAATTCATTTTATCTGATCTGTTATCATCACGTTTTAGCAGCACAATTTTCACGGTGGACAGCAAGTACAGCAAGTTTATTGTGAGTTCAGAAATTTAGTGAAAAGAATAGCTTGACTGAAATAGCGAAGATTTGGGAAGTTACTCTTCATTAAATCTTATTTTTAATACCGAAATCGTTCAAGTGCAATAAATGTGTCCCACCGAACTCTACCAACTCTGTCCTTGTTCAGATAGCTTTTCAATTCATCATACTGTTGTTTTATTTCCTTTCATCTACTGACTTAATTAGAATGGATGAACCAAGGTACATACCTAACATCCATTGTAAAGTGTGGTGCTTAAATATCACAGGATGTAAACAACTAATCACTAGTTATAATACTCGGAGATTTAAAATGATTAATTCATATGTTCTTTCCTGTTATTTTTAGGCTAATATGTTGAAGGACTTGATTAAGAAAATATGTTTGTAGAACTGACTTCGACGATTGGTAATGAAGTCAACCGTGGCAACTGTTGCTAGTGTTGTTCAAAATGGCATCTACTCTGAATGGTCTAATTACCCGAAATTTGACGAATTCAATATTATTAGTGTATGTCTGCAAATAAAATTTGTTTATCTCCTTCCAAACTCTTTTGTGCGAAAAGTAGCAAGAAATTAAAATCTCTAAGCCGGATGATATTGACGCGATCTGCATCATGTCGATCCACTTCATATAATTTTAAAGTGTCCTGACTATGTTTAAAAGGAAAACTGTTTTATTCATTGTGTAAAAAGAGATTTATGATGGGATGGTATATCACATAAACTACCATTCGCAGTGGTTACAATTTGAAATCCAGCAAAATTGGCAAACAGTCCCTTCCTGTGGCATACGTATTGTGCTGATTTTCTCATCCTTCCATTGTTACCTTGACTACTCTACAAAGTTTCCTTATATCATATGAGCTTCCAGTGATTGATACGTATAACGTTCACCAGACAATCAACCAGTACGACTCGACTAATGACCTAAGTGAATCACTTCCTTTCTAATTCTAAAATGATTTGCTTTCCTAAATTCAGAGTACTGTAAGCTGAAAGTTATCATTAATTTCATACAAAACGAACCTGGACGCTTTTGTATGCCTTCGCACTTCATTACAGATTTGATTATTAAGTTCGACTTTTTTATTTCATATCAGGTATGCATTTAGTGGAGGCGGCCGTGGAATTATTTCCGTTCGTGTTTCTTCAGATAATGGGAAGTCTTGGTATGATGCTAAGTTGACACCAGTAAGTCCACCTACCAGCGATGATGAAAACGGCCTGGATAATAATTCTCCTGGAAAAAATCGAAGTGTAAAGCAGTGGGCGTGGACAATTTGGTCAGTAGAAATTCCTATCCCTAGTAAGTTTTTCAAGTATCTTGTTAATCGGATGATGGTATTACAGTGTTATGCATAAATATATAGAGAAAAATGACAGCCTTTCTTAAATGCACATATTTTGAAACTTACTTCCCACATGAAGAATGCATAAACGTTGAATGCTAAGAATTGAAAGAAAGTATCCCACATAAAAAGATTGAAGAGTTAGCTGTGAAGAAATTGTGTGACATACACAAGTTGAAGGCGAATATTCTTCTAATAGTAACTCTTATTCACTAATTGACCACAGGTTTTGTTAAGTTGTACCAGGGTTAAGTATGTGCGCATACTTGTAGACTTCATATACTACAAAATATACCCGTCTCATATAACTGCGTGCGTGTTTCATACTTTAGTTGCTTAGATTTTGCAAGTTTGATAGTAGTACAGTGCTTACTCTCTTCAACGTTCACTACCAGAAATCCACGTTCGTAATCATTTAAAACAGCATGAAAACTACACTGAGCACAAAGGTATAACTCTTTATACTTTATCCTGCTTTAGTTCAGTTTGCAAGTATATTGTGTTATTTTTACGCATGAGTTCTATGGTTATAGAGACAAACCATCTTTTTTGGTTGAAGGATAACTTAATCTTTGTACTAAACACCTATTTGTTCAGAACGTGTTGCTATAATAATTCATTCTTACTTCCTGTTAGCATCACTGGCTGTTATATGATGCCTTTGCTTTCAGCTGTCTCATATACTTAAACAGTATTTGTCATCCACAAACTTGGTGTAGAAATCAAATAAACTCACTTATCAAAAGGTGGTCTGTGTTGGCGATTACAAATAAGAACACATTTTAATCACAAAATATTGTAAATGAATGGGTGTTAATACAAAGTTGATTTTTAATCTCACATATTTAGTTTGTCTATATAATCCGCCTACCTGCAATTTAAAAGGATGTTGAACAGGGTGTGTGATGAGGCTTAACTTATTTTGTATTGTGCTGTTTCTGTGTTGCCATACCCTATTAGCCTTTCAAGGATTACTTTTAGAATTATATACTATATGTACTTAAACTTGTCTTAGCTATAAAGTATGGACGTAAACGTTAACTTCGCGTAAGGTAAGTATACTTGACTATTTTTTTTTATTTTTTTTATTTCCACATAACTTACTTTTCACTGAATATGAAGTATAATCAATGAAAATGGAGGTGAAATCTACAAAAAATCATTTTTAGCAGTAAAAGGAAATCTAGTTAACAGTTGTGTACCTAATATTTCAATTCCATGTGCACCATTTTCTTACATAGCTTACTCAATTCTGATGAAATGCGTATTTCATTCAACAAATAATAAGCCACTGACCTGTGACAGTTCATCCACAAATTAGAAACGTGATATCTACGTTTGTAAGTCAAACTAAGTCCTAGAGAAGCTGTAGCGGTCCATTGAAATCCATTTTTAGGCTGCTAGAGGTAGATGAGACTGTTAATGAATGAACTTTTTAAGCTCAGGTTATCTGATAATTACGCATCTCAAGAACCACAGAGATACTGTGATCAACATAGTTTACTCAATATTTTAATGATTTTTACTTATGTGTTATGAATATCGTGCTCCTTGATTTCATTTTTCAGAGGATATTCACGAAATGGAGTTTGTATGCTCAGCTGTTGACAGTGCTTACAACACTCAACCAGAAACATGCTCAGCTACTCTGAATGTACGTGGTTTGCTAACCAATTGTTGGCATAGGATAAAAATTGAATTCTCCAACGTTTGATGAATAATCTCATTTTATACTATGATATTCACCAATTTTTGATTCTTTTTATGTAATTGAAGCTAAAATATTAACATGAAGTAAAATTTCAAACCATTTTAGTCCACTGTATGTAAATTCACTTGTAATGATTTTAGAAATAGTTAGTTTTCTGATGACTTCTGAAATCGATTATTGATTCTTGGAGTTTTCACCGTCATTCTGGATAACATCCTGCTACAATTCAAAACTGTATGTTAGTCGCTAGTGCTTTCATAAATATGGCTAGTTAGATAACCATGACGACCTATGAGCAATATGATAAATGTTTCCTGCATTGGAACTATCACAGTCGCCACATATCTTCTTGAAATGAGCGGTGACCCTGCAGTTGTTCCACACGCTGCTGCTCTGGTGGTACATCGGATATGTGTTAAGATTGCTATGGACTTGTGACGTACCTAAATGTCAGTCATGTTGGAGTTCTCTAACCCGTTTTAATTTTGCCATCTAGGAATTTGATTTTCCAGTCAGAGTAAATATTGTCAGTAGATGGTAAAGAACATAAAAAGATCAGTTTAGAAGGCTATTCGGTGACTCTGTTTTCCCCAAATTCTATGGTAGGTTAAAATTGCAATACATTTTCGATGGTTGTTCATTTGATTCTTAGGGACTTCAAAGTAGGTTCATTGAAATAATTGTCAAAAAAACCCCTAGCACTGAGTAAACATATTGCATCATAGTGTTGAGATAAATGAAGGCAAACTGATTGGAACCATCTGTACCATAACGCTATCGACTCAAGTGGCTGAAAGTAATATAGTTCTCTGGAGATCTCCAACAGACTTATCTTCAACGTATATGCCATCATCGCAAGGCCTAAGGGTCACGATGCAGAATTGAAAGAGCTGTGTAATCTGTTAAGAAGCTTCTTCAAACCCGAAGATCCAGGTCACAACGTACAACAAGGCAGCGTATCTCTTCCCATTGCAGCATTTCACATAGCCATCCAGCAGCTAGGCCTCGCTTGATGGAAAACCCTAAATAGTATTTGTTCCATAACAACGACGGTTATGAAGCCGAAAATTGTCAAGAGTCGTGCACATGCTCAAACTGGGCACTATCAAACCGTTGAGTCGTCTTTGAGCATCACAATCGCATATGGTACTGCAAAGGGATGGCAACACTAGTGGTCCGAACGGTGATTACAGCTCAAAGCTAAAGCAACATCTGAGTACAACCTTTTACCTAAAAGTAGCCGACCAGTAGAAGACGCGATTTCTCAATTTCTCAACGGCCAACTTGGCAACATAGATATACGATTATCTCCCAAACAACAAAAACAGGTTCAGGTCGAACTTTTAGGTTCTCAGAACATTTAGAAACATACCTAACGGCTGAATGGGTGCAAAAATATGCCACTTTTCATCTTCAAGTTTTTTCTGGTCACACCATTTTTGCTGGGTGCAAAACTTGTCCTACATTTTTTCGTTACGGCATCATTTTCTACTTATCACGTGATCACGTTTTTCAAAAAAAAGAAAGCAAACAAGGTCAAACTTTTTTGTTGGTATTTTTCCCATTTTCGTTTCCGTAAGATTTTTTGCGGTATTCGGGACTTTGGTTTCTATTCCAGATGTGAGTAGTACTGGACTGAATGTTAAAGCACTACAGAGAACTCGATCGGCTTATCTTACGATTCATCTTCTTGTTATTCTTTTCAACGACATCTTGGATTAAGTTTGAACATCCATGGGCCAATCTTCACTGTGAGCTCATAGGGAGAGGTTTTTTAATGGCGAAACAAATGGATTTTCACCTCCAACTGGTATCGTCTGAGGATCTCAGTAAACACATTAGAGAAGAGGGTGAGCTTTAGAAGCAAATAGTTTCCCCAAAACAGTAGCCCAGAGTTAGATTAGATTTACCAATCATAAGGGCCTTCACAGTTTTAATGAACTCACTAGGTTGAAAGTATATGATCAAGCATTCAAACCATTTGGTAGGTTGTCGATTTAAGTGGAGTTGCCCATACATGATCCTCTAGCAAGTTAGTCAAAAGGCATCAGTATTTTACCATAGGCTATCAAATATATTATTCTATTTGGATGTTCTTCTGTGTTCTTTCTTGAACTCTCACTAGTGGGTATATAACAAGAGTGGATGATTATTGTTTGGTGTTTGCGTCTGTAATGTCCGCATAGGATCAATTCCTATGATCACGTTTGCAACTCAGCACTTGGTGGAAGTAGCAAGCGCATAGCGTCTACTCACAATGAAAGAAATTTCGGACCAGTGTGTTGTACTGGCTTTCACTCAGACTTTTGCCTTTGCAAATAAACTTCCACTCATGTACAAATATATTTCAGATGTCGTAGCAATCTTTTCTGTCTCCTAGGAAGCGGAGGAACTCTTGTGTTCCCACAGTGAAATATGCTGGTTAGCGATCGCTCTTTTTCATGAGGCCGGTTCCCGTTAAGTGTTTTTCTTCAAACACTGGTTGAGGAAACATAACAACGTGTCTCGGGTGTCTCTTGCTTTAACCAAGCCTCAGCTCTCAATAAAATTTAGTGGAAAAGACAAGTGCTTTCGGTAGGTGACTTAGTAAGCATATCGGTGATGGCCAGTGGTTTGGTGTTTTAGTACATCAGTGGCTGCACATCAGAGTATTCATTCTAGAAAAACCATAAGGGAAGTGATTTCAACAGCTGGGCTGAAACATGGTAAACCTTATCTGAATCTGATACATAGATGATGCCAGGATCGTTATTTATGTGATAAGGCGAGTGGAGGGAAGCTTATTTTTTTCATTCATCTTAACAGTTATGCTCTAGAAATGGGAACCCACTGTGTATGCTGTTTGGTACGGTATTTTTTTCAATTGTGTGGATGGGAGCAGGAGTTTCAAAGAGTTCCTTCCAGATATTCTGCCGAAGATACTTTCTTTGTTTAGGGCACTGAAGATACATGAAATGCATAGACCAACATAAGCTGCGATTTCGAAATTCAAAAGGATAAAATACTTCTCGGGTTCAGGTGACCTTGGTGTTTTTACTCATTAGCTGGCGTTTCCGGTAACAACCAACTCAGAATAACATGTTGGACTCTCAGTACTTTGTGTGCGTCATGAAACTTGATTTCATTCATGTGATGTAAAACAGGAGGTTAACAGATTCAAAGCCAATCAGAAAAGAAGTTCAGAGACGATTACAACTTCAGCAGAGTATTTCGCACCAAACATCTTCCTGTAATCTAATCTAAATAACAGCTTAGCGCATCGTAAAAAGAGTACTTAAACTGTTTAAAAGCGCATTATAGTTTCACTAGCTAACCTTCTTCTCCAATATCATAAGTTTTTCTTCAGAAAGTTTTACTGTCTTAATATTTGTGGTCAATTCATGTTGTATGACCTCTTGAAGAATAATGGGAATGAGCATCGTTAGCTTCAGCTGTATGGGTTCAAATCTGTGGATGTAACATCTATTTTGTATGGCACACTAAGGAAAATGAGCTTGGTTAGGTGTCGTTTTCTTTTCATTTTGGTCGCCAGTGAAAGTAGTAGTAACATTTCCAGTGTGAAAAGTGTTAATCTATTCTGAAAACCTGAATGAGATTCTCCAGATAAGAGGTATTCCACCCGTCCAAATTATCAACAGTCAATTTAGTTCAAGAAAGAAGGAAGGGTAATCCATCTCATTTAAAGTTCAATTAAAATTGACGTGAAGAAAGGCAAATAATTTTTTCTTCTCTCCTATTAAATAAGTGATTAGTGTCTTCTAGCAGCCTTGTTATAGGAGATTTTCGGACAGAAAGGGTTCGTGATTGACTGTTTAAAACGTGGAAAGAAAGTCATCTTTTTCACTTTCCTCTTTGTAATGCGTGCAAAAGAATATATTATACTGATGAGACGCACATCTTTTGGCTTCGCTCGAAGCACTTTCTTAAAGACACAAAGGCTGGTTCCCGGGTGAGGTTAGAAAAGTATTAGAACATAAGTGTTTGTTTAAGATTTTGACCAGTAATACTGGTGTCGCCATTTTCAATGACGGGATCGGGTAATAACTTCTACGTCAGAGATCCTCCGGGTTGTAAACAACCGGTTAGATATAAATATTCTGGATGCTACCATTCACTGTCGACAAAGCTACCGCGGATGATTGTCGTATGTTTCACTTGTGTCTTGAACTACAAGAAATGGTCCAAACACCGACCAAGAGGAGTGGAAGTTACTGAATCTTGGAACTGCGTAGGCCAGTGGGACAAACTAAACTAGGAGGAACCATATCATTTTACAGACTAGCGGGGAGAAAGACAGCGCGAATCACAAAGAAATGATTGCAAAGTCGGACTTTATTCCAGACTTCGTTTGGGAGATATTTGAGTTGTCATTATCAATCTCTTCCGTACAGTCTTCAAAGTGCTCATCAGACCAAACATTGAGGTTCTTCACATACTTACCTGCCTACATGATAAATGCACCTTCTGGAGGTGGGTAAAAGAGTGATATGGTGACACATCTCCTAAGCATCTCTGACAAACTCACCAATTCATTTTCAGCAGTCAAAAGGAATGAAGTGGCCTGCCAAAAGTATGCGACTGCACATCTGGTGAATCGTTTCAGCAAACAAGCACTAACAACTCGGGACAGACAGTCATACCGAAACTCAGAAACAATAGCATGCCAAAAGGCTAACACCCCAGGTGCGGCCAACTTTCACTAAATGTATGTGCACTGCAAAATACCTAGTCGCGAGCATGAACAATGACTATTGCGACGAAATGATCTATAGGACTGTAAGACAAACATGTCGGAACGATTTAGTTATCTCTCTCCCAGCAGATTAGTTTCTGACATCAATAATCCTTCACGGCGCCTATGTATTGCAACTTAACCATTT